GAATTATCCCCTAAAAACACATCTGAAATGGAAAAAATATACTGGATATCATTTCAAGGTTATTTTATAGATTTGCGAATGTTACAAATGTTCTTGGGTTAAAAAAAAAACACCAAACTTCCAGGGCTGCAGGTCAGCCAGGTTGCATTTGCAGGGAGCAGCTACCCAGACTGGCCCTTTTTCAAGGCTTTATATCTTAAGCAATTCTCTCCAAAGCCTCCTTTTACAGAGCAGAAAGATAAGTTAGGTCCTTCCTCGGCCACGCATTTCAATATCTGCTTAACTTTGGACACAGTTGCAGCCACCAATTCAGATGTTTCACCAGAGCTACCCACATACCTGCTCATTTTTTTTCTGCTCAGAAGTTCCTAGTTTCTCAACTTTTTTTTGGCCTCCAACTCCTAGTTCAACCATCTTCTCTTAAAAAGATGGCACACACTGCACAGTGCATCTGCTGAATTTCAACAAGCTCCTGCAAAAGAAACCCTTATCAAGTCTAGCTGAACATCACCAGGGTGTTATAAAAAAGCATAGTAGCGCTTGAAACTTCCTTAGCCAAATGCCTCCAACCAGGATCATCACAGTGGCACAGAGACCAAAGAGCTTTTCCAGCGGGTGCAGGCTCTCCGCTGCAGTGAGGATTGCTGGCTGCGTGCAGACCTGGACGGGCCTCTCCTTGCAGGACATGATCTAACCCAGTGCCGCAGGTGAAACCCAGCTCCGTGCAAAGAACCCACACAAAGATATCGCCCCAGCAAGGTGGAGGAGGGCAGTGCATTACAGTGGTGCGAGACTTGCACCATGGGGCATGAATTTCACTCACAGTAAGTTAAAAGGCCAAATCCAGAGATGAGGCTATATGTACTTGCCAGTAGAAACTGGTGACAGATGAGGAACGGACAGAACACACAATGCGCATGTATTTATAAAGAAAAAAAAAGGGGGGTAGCAAATTGCCTTTGTTTTGCCATTACAAAGGAATGTTTTATCAGTTTTCTCCTTGTATCCTTCTACAGTTGCTCACCTTTGGCACAAGGAATTCTATGTATCACAAGATTTAATTAATAATAATACTTCTTATCAACACTCAGCACTTACACAGCGCTTCTCATATTCAAAGTGCTTTACAAAAGTTTGTGAGTCCTCACAACACCCCTGTGAGGTAGGTAAGTATTATTATCCCCATTTTACAGATGGGGAAACTGAGGCAGAGAGGTAAAGTGACTTGCCCAAGGCTTTATAGGGAGTTGCAACTCATGATGTAGTGGCCCAATTCTGGTGTCCCTTATGGTGGTGTAACACATGAACTCCCACAGAGCTATACTGGTATAAGCAAAACAATCCAACCCAAGTTTCTCTGGCTCCCAATCCTCCGCTTCAATCAACTGACTATACCTGCTCCACCTAAAACAACAGTTCGCCTTCTGAAACACTACAGAAAGTCCAGAGCACGGCAGGAGTGAGTCTGCAATCTTAAGGCAACATATATGTTAACAGCTCCATAGCTCTGCAGCAAGTTGGACTCCACACAGACAGGTTTCTGCCACACTGCACGAGTCTTCAGACAACACAAGTGGTCTGCAGCTCTGCATGCATCAGCTTTCAGGTTGATTCTCTTCTCCCTCAACTTAGAATAAACCCAGAGCAAAACAATGGGGCTGCACCAGCGGAGAACTAGTACAAGATCTGAACCAGACCTTTTACCTGCTGCTTCGCAGGCAAGTGCCCCTACTAATATCTTTTCATTTTGGACAGCTTCGGCATGGTTCATTTCACTCTCTCTCTCTCTCTCCGAGTTTGTACCTCTGCATATAAACAAACTTTCAACATTTCCAACTTATCAGCACCAGCATTTAAACAGCACCATACATCTTTCTAAGACCGATCAATATTTCCAGAAAAGTGTCAATGCATGCAAATATCACATATAAAAACATCAAAGGTGCTGGGATATGATACCAAGGATAGAGGTGATCACAAGACAGCACACGTTTAGTTTTTATTAAAAATACCAAACAACTCACTCTTACTGTAACTACGCCACTTAGATGATCATTCTAACCTGCAGAAGTACAGGTACTTTTCCTTCAACTATTTACCTACCTACCTAGAAAGAAAGAGAAATAGCAAGCACACACATTTATACTTCCTCAAACTTGGCAGGCATGATTCATGTGAATGGGAAAGGAGGGTCTGCAGAGGTGAGTGAGATCGTACACCGGGTTTAGGGCAGTGGAGTAGAAAAGAAGTAGAAAATACCACATGCATCATTACCATCAATAATCAACCTGATGAAAATAAACCCAAAACTTAGATGGATTCATGTACGACATCCACTGAAAATCTCAAACCCTAAGCACACGGAAGCTGGCAAACATCTTGTGCCTCTTCACCTATATCCATACACAGCATCAGCAAATAAGATCAAACAAACCTTGAAAAGAAAGCAGAAGGAAGAACAAACCAGTCTGGAGACAACAATCTTCCACAAACCACTTCCCTGCATTATTTTCAAATACATTTTACTCTTAAGCAGTTTCGGAAAGGAGTGGGGGAGAAAGAGACCCACTACTATTTCTTTTTAAACTGGCTCAGCACCAGCACCAGCTCAGAGAGAGGGAGAGAAAAAGAATTCTTCAAACACGATCCTTGGTACTTGACTAAAACGTTGCTAGCCAGCCAACGATACCCTAAATTGCCAGAGGGTTCGAAGTGGAGTGGATACATGGTGCTGCTCACAGTCCTCTTCATTTGCTATGATATCTGCTCCGTGGGCCTCATCTGTATATCTCCAATCTAGAAGAGACCAACATGGGATTTTACTGGAGCACTGAAGTCCATTTTAAATCCTACCCTGGGCACTTCCAAGCTGCATCATTACAGTGGCAAGCTGCATGTGAAGAAAGTTCCTGTGACTAGAAATGAACCTGCTTAACTGAAATGAAGGTGAATGCGACGGTTCTGCCTTTAGCGGAAGGAATAAAAGCACAAACATGCGCAGAAAAGAGTGCAAGAGGACACTGATTATAAACACTCGTGGTTCCAAGTCTTTAGTTTGGTGCTGCTCGTGGAGGGTCAAGCTTCATCAGTCACAGGCAGGACTTTTTATCCTCTTAAGCCAAGGCGGCCAGTATCACTAGTGATCCCATGGCAAGACGGCCACGTCTTGCTCCAAAGGAGCAGAGTTCACATGCAGTGCTGCTAAACCTCTCATGATCAAAGTCTGCTTTTGCAACAGGAACTTTTATGTTGCATATACTAAACTTTAACACTGCTCCTGCCTCCTCCTGGCTCCAGCTCAAGACTGGCCACTTATTTCTTGTTTCACAGGAGGGAAGTCCCTCTGGCAGCACAGGCATCTCACACCACCCTCGGGGAGGTGCAGAGCACTTGGCAAGATCAGGCCCAACACGTTATTTGGCAACTGGCAGAACCTGACCCACCTGCAAGATTATCAGCAAATCTCAGATGTCACCATCCAAAAGGGACAAATGTGCCCATATTCCTTCCATTCCCCCTGCATTGGTCCTTCTCTGGGGCCAGAGCAGCCTTTGCCGGATCCACAGGGCTGTCAGCAGCCCCAGCAGCGCAATCCCGTAGCTGCCGTAAGGGCAGCATAAACAAACGTGATCACGGCTAATCCCCAGCCCAGGCCTTGCTAAGCACGCAGCTGATACAGCGGCTGCAACGCTGATTAGCAAACATCAGGGCAGCAGTGACCCTCTCCGCCTTCAGCCACCCACCGTAGAGTCCTCCAACCCAACCACAGCCTACCTGTACATGAGGTGGGGCACTGAGGACATATATGACAGCATTAGCCATATCTTCAGCTTTGAGACACTGGAAAGACAGGAAAGAGATTCTTAGTCAAAGGGCACCTCAGGAAGTCAACCACAAGATCACTTCTTTCCTAACCATTAATAATGAGTTTTGACAGTGTCACTGGGGCATGTCAAAAAGATGCAAGCAATCAGGAAAAAAATAATCCATTACAAATTTAACAAAGGACATGTCTGGTGCTGATAATTCTCCATTTACTGTGAATAATCTTACTACTGACACAGTAATTCTGCCAGGTCAGGCATTGCCATCCTTATCAAAAATTACCAGAGAAGCACAAGAAATCCTGTGCTAGCCACCTGCAAGACAACACGCTCTCACAGTTCTTCGTGTGCTGGCATGTTTGCTTATTATATCTTTTCTGCAATAAAGAAGTCATAGCCTGTCAAATGTCAAAGCTGACTGATATTTATTTAGAGGAACATCAAAATAAAAGGAAAAATGCAGGGAGTTGGAAACTGAACCTGAATGAAAATCTACACAGCGCATAAATATCAGTGCAAAATGTGAGGTCTGAGTGCTGAGACTTTGAGGATGCTGATTACATCCTGGAAAGCACTGGGCACTCTGCAGAACTAGGTCCTTGTGCTGTTAGCCAGGAGAGAGACTGTTAAACTATAATCTGAGCCACTTTCCTCTGTTTCTATTTCTCCATGTCCTACCCGAATGCTCTCATAGGTTGCAGCAGCTCTCTCAGGGTCATTATCATGAAGTTTAAAAGCAAATCCCGTTTCCACCAGTCCTGGAGATATACACTGGAAAAAAACAGAGCACATCCTAATAGGATTTGTAATTCCCCTTCAGTAAAAGAATTTAAAAAAGAGAGAAAACATTTTAGCACTGAAAAAACCAAAAAAAACCCAAAACAGCCCCCTTTCTACGGTTCTCCTTCCCCACGCTTTTTCTAGGGGAATAGTTTAAGGGAGCAGGCTTTGCCTTAATGACTGTTGTAGCAGGTACCTCTGGGGAACCGCTGATGGGTACTTCCCTCTTCATGCCCCAAAGGGACAGAGAAGCAGAGAAAATGCTGGAAAAGCTTGCGATACGAATTAACTTCTGGACACATCACTTCCGACATGCAAGCTCTGCATAAGAGCAAACGGCCCAGCTGATTGCCTCCCTCTGCTGTCAAGAGCTCCCCTCGCTCCCGGACAAGTGGCTGCCCACTTTCTGCACCCAGAAGGTTTATTCCCTGACACACCTCATTGCTGCTGTGCCTTCTGCCCCCCAGTCTCTCTCTGCCTGGGAAAGACGAGGTGGCCAGGGACAGTCGGCCACTGGACTTGAATGCTCCCAGTGTGCTGAGTGCTATTTTTGTATTTCCTTGCCTGTTTTCCAAAGGGAAGTCCTCTGTCCCACAAAGCCTGCCAGCTGTCTGCCACCCACAACAGCAGGAGAGAGGAGGAGAGCCCACAGTACTCACTGTAGCTCGTATGTGAGTCTTTGCTTCTCTGAGTTCTTGCCTCAGCCCCTCCGTGAGGGCTGTAACTGCGTACTTGGTGGCACTGTAAAAATGCACCACCGACTGTGGCACGACGCTGTGGCCGTTCATGCTGAGGAGAGAGCAGAAAGGAAAGTGCTGAGAGGTGAGGAGGCAAGCAGAGTCCCGAGAAGGAACCAACAGGATATTCAAACCACCATCATGAACACAAAAAGAGACGCTGACATGGTGGCTACGTGAGGAATTCCCCTCTCCTGCGGGAAGTGCATACCAGCAGAGGCTCCTCTCGACACAGCTGTTTTCTGGAGCTGGTCAAGAAGTTTCAACCTTCAACCTTGCACCATCACAAGCGGTTGGCATTACCCTTTTCTCCCTGGTTTGGTCCTTCTTGCATTTAGACCAGCAGAGGTTAAAAAAGAAAAAAAGCAGTTTGAACCACCACAAAACCCTCCTGGGGTACCATCAGCCCACTCCAAGGTTAAAGCTCCACCACTCAAATCCTCTCTGTGGCACAGGGAGGAGGAAGCACACGTGGCTGATCCCACATTTCCCCCTTGCATACCTGTTAATGTTAATAATATGCCCATCATCGATGCTCCTCTCTTTCATGGACTGGTAGGCCTCTCGGGTGCAGATGCTCACAGCCATCACATTGACCTGAGGGAAGAGAAAAGAGGAAGAAACTAAGATCAGCAGCCATGCCTGGCACCCTTTGACTTGCCCCCTGCCTTTCCGAAGCCAGGGATGTGGGTTACAGTCCCCGACCCACGGCAATTCCTGCAAACACCAACCGAAGGAACTGCACCCTGGCACACCGCATCACACCGCACGCCCCACATCGCACCGCGACCAAGCTCGGGGCTGCAGTAACAAGGGCTTTGGGCAGGGGAGGCACAGACACCCAGTTTTGCGAGACAGCCTCGACCTCTGCCAGAAATAAATGGACTTAATGGTTTTACAGACAAGAGTGCAAGGCAAGGGAGAACAAACCCACTTCCCCACGGTCAGCACTCTGTCCGGAGACAAAGTTGTTTATTTTGCACAGCACTGAGCACACTGGAGTTTGGGCAGCTGATAGGACACTAACAGCAGGTAATTAGGTCAGCTAGTTAACAAGGAAATCCCCATATATTGCCTGTCAGAGAACCAGGCGCTCAGAGGCACTGCAAACCACACAGCCAGCCAAGAGCTTCCCGTGCACAAATGAAGCCAAAGATCACATCGTGCCATGGGGAGGGCCAGAGTGGGCAAGTAACCCTGCAGATATGAAAGCCACCAGTCTGTCACACTGTCCACTGACCTCTTCTTCAGCCCTAACTGGATAAGCCAAGGAAGAATGAACACGGCAATTTATCCAGTCCTTTAGCACAGGATGCAGAGCTTTCCAGGCTCTTGCTCTTTGGACCAGCACTGCCCACCACACTGTGGCTCAGTTAAACTCAGTCTTATCACCGCTGCAATGTGCCACCATCAATGTGCAGATGCCTTGAGTTTTGGCTGACCATAACACACAGAATCAGAGTTTCCAGGAAGATGGAGATATGGAAATTCCCCCAGCTGGAATACAAAGCACCCAGAGGCATGTGCAAGACTGATGAGCAAGCCATCTCTGCAGCAGTGCTAATTGCTCAAGTTTGTAGTGGTTTAGATTTGGAAAAGGAGCTGAAAGGTAGAAAGTGTCTGCTGAAGCCCTCTAGAAAGGATGTAACCATTTCAAGGCAGGACACACTGACAGGTCCTACCTAATGGCATGTCACTTTTTGCTAAATAAATCAGCAGGCCAGACAAGTCTAAAAACACTGCTGTGAACTAAATATCCAGGAAGAACTAAATTTCCGATGAATCAGAAGTCAGATGCAACTATAAATGGGAGGAGCAGCAGTGAGCGAAGGATATGCAAGAGGGCTGGCAATCATCGCCATGAAACAAGAATGGGGCAGGCTAACTAGGAGTTGCTAGCACAAAAGGACATGCAAGAGAGGAACATTAGCTTAGAGACCAGTAAGTAAGAGGCAGAAAGGGATGGATTTGAGAGATGTAATTACTGAGCAGCACACAAAGGATGAGTGGGGTCAGCTGAAGGATCTTCTGGTCACTGCTTCTGTCTCGGTTGTTATTTCTATTCATTACCAGAGGCCATGCTTAGAAGTTTTTGTCTTGGTGATGGATAAATAGCATGTTTATCTGATCTTGGAGTACCCAGGCAACACAACAAGCAGAGTCATCATCCTCATCCAAGTGCGCTTTGGTCGAGCACACAGTCACTACTGGATATCTCAGTCATCATACCTGGAACTACAGCGATAAATTCCCTGGCACCAGATTGAAGATTTACCTTGGCTGTGCAAGGAAGAAAGTTAGCAGACATGTCAGCAGAAGTGGCACTGTACAACCACCTTAGCACTGGACTGAAGCCCAGAGCAGGCAGGGCGCCTGAAGGCTTTTGGATTTCACAGTAAGAAGGTCAAGGAAAGCGAGAGTAACCCGCTCCAGTGTGATATACTAACCAAGGGAGGAGCCAGTCCTTTCAGCTATGGATCTGGGCAACTGTTAGTATAAAAAGCCTTCGTGACAAACAACATCCCTGCTTTCCTCCCTTGCCCCAGGACGCCCTGAACCCACCGGGCACCATGTCTTTGGTGCAGCTGCTCCCCAGCTCCACTCCATCTCCGTAGGCCACTAGAGGGTAACATCAGCCTAAAGCCTGAGACCTGGCTCCAGCGCTGTGACTCACGCTGAGCAATGCTTCCTTGCGTGGGTAGAGTTACAACGTTTTGACAACTCCTGGCAAAGCAAGATATTAATCAACAGCCACATGGGAAAGTCCAGAGCCCATACAACAAGAGACCCTGGCACAACAAAACAACTGGCTGGAAGGCAGCTGAGCTGGGATTGCCTTGCTGCCTTTCCCCAATAGCACCCACAGGATTTTTGGGTGAAATCCCATTTCAAAATGTGGAACAGGCACTCAGGAACCTAAATACATGCCTGGAAAATGAGCAAGCCTTAGGGCTGCATCACTTCGAGAAACAATCTAAAAGCCATTGTCACAAACAGCCATGCAAGACGTTTTTCTCAGACTTGTTCCTATTTTAAGAACAAAAGGTTCAAAGGTCCCTTAGCAAAGATGGCCAACACATCTGCGCTCTGCCTTTGCACAGCATGCTGCACAAGGCAGCAGGTTTGTGGCTGCCGCGCGTGTGTACTAATGCAATAGGAACAATGAAGGTGCATTTTCTAGTAATTAATGACTTCCAATTGCCAGGTTGGGAGGACGTAAAAGATCCTGTCCCTGGAAGCGCTGAGCATTTCACTTCCCAGAACCAGCCTTTTCTAAGGCATCAAAATGAGTATTCCAGCTCCTAGGTACATATAAAAATACAGGTTACAAAAAACGTATCTCTGCACAGATGACATACAAAAGCACGAAGAACATAGCCTTGCTGGTCAATGAATAATACCAGGAAGAATCAAACCCATTTAGAGTCTAAAGGAGCGAGAGGATGTGTGCTGCAGTCCTTTGTGCCCTGAACAGTACAAATGGAAAGTTCAGGTTGAATTCCTGGCTGTAAAGGTCAGTAGGTAAAACGTGAAGGAGCTGTTCAAATCCCAGCGCCTGGAGTCAGTGTGTACACAGCACCCAGCCCCAGCTACTCCTGCGTGGATCAGGGACGGCTGGAGGACTTTGCTCCAGCCTCACGTCAAGCACAACCCCACAAACAAGTAGAGAGAAATGGGGGGAAGCCGTGAACCAAAAGACGACAGGCTCAGAACACGCTCCCTCCCTCTCTGGCACACACCGAATTTGCTGGCTGGCAGCGCTGGGCTCTGCGCTGCTGTAAAGCAACGGAGAGGCGATTCCCAACATGAGACTCCTGCAGGGAGATGCAGCTCCCCCTTGGGAATGAACACCAGACGATGGAAAACTGGAACATTAAAAAAAAGAGGAGGAATAACTAAATGATAACGTGATCTTGACTGTTAGATGTAAAGCAAGAAACTTTATGGAATAGGCATACTGAGAGAGGAGCCTGGAAGGAGACAGAGCCTCAAAGCTCATAAAAAATGCATGGAAACAAAAATCGATTTACCAAAAAAAAAAAAAAAAGCTTTCAATATAAGGCCCTAATGCCTCCTAAATCGATAGATTGATGTCTGTTTAGAAACTTCTCCTGTCTTGCCCCAGAAGTACTCTGAAACTCTCCGACAACATTGCTCAAACTGCGCTGCTCGGTAATGCTGTTCTCCAAGGGACCTCTGGAAGAATCCTTCCTGCTCCCGCTCAGCCTCTGCAAAGCTCAGTGGCCCGTGAAAGGTGCTGGCAACCTTTCCCCACCCTGACCCTCCGAGAGCTTCAGAGCGTGTAGGAGAAACGGTCCCGGTGGGTGTTTCCCTGGGGCTGGTGTGCCAGAGCAGGGAGAGCTGTCGCTGCGGATCCCTCCCCAAACCCCACCGCCACACCGGCGCCTGCACAGCCACGGCACGCTTGGAGAGCGAGATTTCCAAGCAGGGAGGTCACAGCCACAAAACTGGGGACACACAGCAAAAGGAAAAACCCCGAGCTACTTCTGCTGCTGACCAACAGGCTAAAAAGCAAAACCCAGGCTTGCCAGGTTGCCTGGGCTGAGGTGGGTGAAGCATTTGGCTCTGGAGGGTCCCAGGGTTTCACCTTCACATTAAAGTTGCAAGTGTTATTCAGACAATTACACACAAGCCAAGAGCAAACCCACCAGCTGCTGGGAAGCTGGTGAGCGGAAAAAAATCTGCCAGTATATGAAGAAAGCTTGCATGTCTCAGTCTGTTCCCAGTGCTACAACAGCATTTTTGCCAAGCAAATGAGAGCAGACATAGTCGTACGATCACCTCTGGGAATAAAATATTCCCCCAGCCTGGTTTCCTAACGCTGCCCTTGTGGAGCCACCACCCTGCCTCTCCTCCCACCGCGTCCGTCACCCCGAAGCAGCTCCCAAGGGTGCACACAGCAGCACCCACAAGGAGGGGGACCCCACAGGCTCCCAAACCCCATGTCAAGCCACTGTAAATACCAACACGGGAGTGTCTCATACAGGACAATCCCCATCCCAAAATCTTGCTCCCTAAAAGTAGTCGAAGGTGACACAAAGGGAGCACTCCAACCTGAGCAGCCAGGGAAGAAAGCACAGAGAAGGGAAGGGGCTTCAGCCGGCAAAAGCCACGTGTGTCCCCCAGCCTGCCCACCTTACAAAGAACAAAAGGTCAGAATAACAAAGAGAAACGAGCGTGAGGGACACACAGCATCCACGGAGGCACCCACACAAGATGCAACGACAGCAACCAGGACAAGGAGTTTACAAGGCGCAGGCGACCCGCAGGGCCAGGCTTGCAGTGCGACAATGCTGGGAAGTGCCCTGCTTTACACCAGCTCAGCCTCAGCTACACTTCACTTAATTTTCTTTAAAGACTCCATGGCAACCGGGGAGAGTGAGATGCGGCTGTGCAGTGACCCAGGCTGGGCAACCCACAAAAGCCTGGCTGGGCAGACAAAGCGGAGCTGAGCTTGCTTTGGCTGCAGTCGCAGCGGCCAGCAGACCGGCCAAAATCTTAACAAGAACTTAATTAGCCAGGATATGGCAGCTCTTGCCCTGGCAGCAGGAGTCTGAGGCCTCAATGTGCCTCTGTTTTGCTTTACACAGCCCCTGAATCTGCTGCTGGATGAACAGCCACCAGCTGCTGCAGGAGCCGACAGATCCTGGCTCACTCCGCTGTCAGATGTAGTAGCCTCAAGCCTACAGCTTCAAGCAGCTTTTCAAATAGACATGTCTTTTCCTTCACTAGGACAAGCTCTCGCAGCTGCTGGAGGTGCTGCAAGGTTTACTCAAAGCCATGAGTTCGACTCTTGCTCCTATGGGGATGACACTTTCACGCACAAAAGTAGTACAGGAGCGGAAAATCACCTTCATGAAAAGCTCCTGTTTCAGCACCTCACCGGCCAGAGCTGCAGGAAGGCCAGTACAAAAAGGCCGTTGCAAGGGCACAGAAACTGGCCTGGGGTCTCGCAGCTGTGGCTACTGTGTGCAGACAAGGGCCATCGCATAGCGACAAAAGATGGAGAAGTCCCAAAAAGATGCATAGCAGCACCTGAGGACAGCAACACTCAGGGAGAAGCGCTGCTAATAAATGGCATGGACCATTTGCACAAAATCCCAGTTCGGCATATGAAATTGTCTCGTTCACATCCAGCTCTAACCAGATTACAGGCAGAAAATTGAGCTATAAAGACAAAAAGCATTACAGCTTTTTAAGCCGAAAAGAATCTGCCCATTTTACAACCCACTACTACAACTAACAGGATTAGCCACAAAAAACAGTGCTTGGCATTCAATTTCCTATTTTATTGAAGAAAAAAAAGTGAGGCTCATCATCCTTTAGAAAGCTATTGAGCTAAAGGGAAAAATGCTTCTACAGTACTGAGTGTTTTCATACTCCAAGGTGCTGGCATGTGGCTCAGCAGTGCATAATGTCTTTCCACTTCCCAGTCAGCAAACCCAGGCCACATCAGAGCCTGATGGGAAGCAGGTCCTCAGCTCTCCGCACGTGAAATAAGTAGATGGGGACAATGGTGCTGGTGGCCAGAAGAAATAAAAATCTAGCACAATTCCTGCTCTTCCAGTGGCGCTACTCACGTCTATCATCGTCCGCCAGCCTTCCGTCTTCCCCGAGAGCAGGGGCTCCGGGCGAGCCAGCCCCGCGTTGTTGATGCAGACGTCAACTCCTTGATGAAGGGTCTTGATGGCGGAGAACATCGACAGGATCTCCTCTTCGTTGGAGAGATCGCACTTGTACGGGATAAGGGTCCCCGGATAGCCGGCACTCTGGCATTCAGCTGCCAATTTCTAGGGAAGAGAAAGGAAGGAAGAAAACAGCTATCAGGCTCCTCTCCTTGTGGAGCAGCTTATCCAGCCATTTGCTTTACGACACACCCCAAGGCTAACAAAACACAGCAGTTTCCCAGCAAACCCGTCTTAAGAGCAGGCGCTAGGGAAGAATCATCGTAAATGCTAATTAAGAAAAAAGAAATATCGATATACATGAGAGTCTGAGCCCTTCAGCCTTTAAGTTATTAAGCTTCAGGACACACTTTGTGCTCATCCATCACCCCAGGCAATACAGGTCGAGGTGGGCAGGCGCTGGCCAAATACAAATAAATACTACTGCAGCACCAGGCTACAAGTCCGCCACACTGCCGCGCAGATAAAGGACGCGGCAATCGCACGCCTGACGCTTCCTCGTCAGCCCTTACCAACAATTATTCCAAGCACCCAGATCTTTTAGAAGACTGGATGATCTAAAGCAAATGAAAGGCCACGAGCAGCTGCTGGCCGCCTGTGTTAATGATACGGCGGCCACCGCACCAAACCCTCTGGAGGACGCCCTTTACCCTCTGACGCTAATGAGGAGCAGCATCTCGTCTCTGATGCATCGTATTAGCGACAGTGACAGCTTCCAGCACCAGGCGAGCGCCACGTGACGTCTGGTTCCTGCGGGGAGATGGACTCCGGCTACAAACGTTCCACCAAGTCACTCGAACGCCATCGCCCGCGGCGGTTTCACCAACGTGACATTTCGGAGGTTGCAGTAAAGCTGCTCTCCAGAGGCAGCTCTCCCACTCCTCCCGGCTCCTCCCTGCACACCAAGGACTGCAACCCACAGCCGTTTATAAAAGGAGGAGCGAGGCCCAGCACAGGAGTGCCCTGGCCAGAAGCAGAGGACGAGGACAACGGGACGGTGATCGCATGTGAAGGCGGCTGCTGAACGTCCCTGGGACCACCCAAAACACCTCCGGGAAGCCGCGCTGGAGGGATGCTGACTTTTTTTGCTTGCTGTGAGGTACATCACCTCCCAGACTGGCCCAGCCCCTCCTGGCCCTCCAGGAAGACACATGGAGAAATTCCCACATTTTGGAGAAGGCAGATGCTGAAACCAGCCCCACCATCTGTACCGACACGGGGAGGAGCCTGGGGAGCGGCGCTGGCCTCGGACACGACTCGCTCTAATGAAAGCGGTGACAAACCAGAGCATCGAAGGTGTCCTATTCCCGGGGGAAGCCAGCAAGCTCTGGCGTTCCCTGTCCCTTTCACTTAGCAGAGCTGGTTTTTCCGTAGCTGCCGCAGGGCCACACTTGCCCCACAAAACACCCAGCACCGGTGGCATTCGCAGAGTTTGTCAGCCAGCCTGATGTCCAAATTCTGAAATAAACACTAGACAAAAGAAAAAAAAAAAAAAAAAAGGAGCATAAGGGAAAGTGGAAAGAGAAGGAAAAAAATAGGAGACAGCACAGCATCTGCTGCCCCGGCGCAGGCTGGCACGAGAGCTCGTGGGGCTGCATCAGTTCACAAACACCACAGGACCTGGCAAATGCCAAACCAAAGCACGAGCCCAGCTCCCATCCAGCTGGCATCCAACGCCTGCCATCCTGCAGATCAGATGCCAGCACACCCAGGAAACCTGCAGGTTCTGATCCCTGAAGTTTTGTTAGAATCAGCTCTCTGCTCCCCCTGCCAGCACAACACAGCATGGCCGCACGCCTCAGGGTAAAAAAGGCGGCTGGCAACTCAGATGTCACAAAGTCCAAAAAGGGGGAAAAAAAAATCCACCTGAAGATGTGAATTGGCTCCCAACTCCAAATCATGAAGCGTGCTCTTCATCAGTGGCTTTTTGGGTGACCAGCTTTCTCTTCGCCAAGTTTTACACAGAGCATCCTCACTGGGAGAGAGACAGACAAGCCAGGACCTCCAAACCGCGCTCTGCGCCCCAAGCACATTCATTTTAATTACTCTGGGGCAAGTGGTTCTGTTCAGTAAATGATCTTCAACCTTTCTCAATACCTAAGACCACTGCAGAAGTCCACCAAGTCCCTGAACAGTGAATTTAAGCTTTTCTGACTTGCCTTTCACAGCAATCCGCAGCTTTCACGGACCACAAGCCGAAAGCAGCCCAGATCTAAAGGTCTGGTCCAAAAGCCGCTCTCCTTTCTGCAAACTGCTTCAGTGAAGGCATTGCAGTAACACAAGAATTATTATTATTGCTCTCACAGCACCAAGCAAGAAGGGGACAGACATGCTGAGTTCAGCCTGGAGATCGATACATCCCAACAGCATCGCGCACTCTGGAGAGCTCTGCTTGGGCTGAGCTAGACAATATTTCTGCCCGACGGAGAACAAAGGTGCCCCTGGGACTGAATTGTACCTCTCTGTAGCCTCCCGGGGCTGGTTTCACTTTGCTATACATGCAATCTGTTTGATTATTTGCTGATAATAGTAGAAAAATATACACTTTTTAAAGATCAGAGTACACACTTGAGAAAACAGTTGGGGGAAATATCTGCAAGAGCAGCATTTAGAAAATTAAAAGCAGCATGAAGGGCTGCTGGAAGGTGCTAAACCACTCCAGGGATGGCGCCTTGTTCCTGCAGATACAAGAGGGAAAAATGGGCAAGGGGCCCTCAGCCACGTTCTTTCTAACCTGGCACCAAGGTGACAGAGCTCTCTCCATCCCACTACCCAAACTTGAGCACTCCACTAAGGGATCCAACCCATTCAGTATTTGCTTGTAAAGTACCACGGCTCATGTCTGGCACTTTTTCCTTCCTAGTTCACCAGGTCATGGCCAGGAGTATGGTCTTAATTCGCTCTTGGAAGCCAACTGGTGTCCTGGCACCTCCTGCAATTGCCCGGCCACGTTTAGTTTGCTTGATCGAAAGCTGGGTTATCTTTCCAGTGGTACCTCCAATCTCCACTGCTGGTGTCAGCGCCCATCACAGGTGAAGCGGGGTGCTGTCTTTCAAAGGTAGCATACTGGCACAAGAAAGGAAAAGCAGGGCACCCATCGCGTCCTGAGGCTGAGCACCGTGGCGCATCCCCAGAACTGCGGGCGGGAAAGCTTACAGCTCACGGCAGCAACCGGTCCAGCCGAACTCAGCCCTGCTGAAATCGAATCAACAATGCCAATGATTTTAAAAGGTGAGAAATACAAGCACGAAGGATTGGGATGAAGCTCCCAAAAGAGGCCTTGTGCCAGGAGAGCTGGCTGGAAGGAGGACGGGCCATCAGCATGGACAGGAAAGGACAGACAAGCTCATCTACAGCCCAGAGGGAAATGCCGTGTTTAATATCTCCGTTTCCACGTTCAGCTGTCACTTCGCACTATTCGGTGAAACCCTTCACTGTTCACTACAGTTCCTCGACAGAGGCAGACAGGGTCTAAACCCCACAGGCTGCAGCAAGCCAGATGAAGGAGCAGATGAAGCAAGGGGTGCCCTGGACAGCAGTGGCTGTCGTGGTGGAGCTGCCCATCCTGTTTTCCCAGTCAATCTCCTTAGCTTATGTCTTAGATCCACCAGGAGAAAGCTCTTTCTCACTCAGAGAAAGGCCTCTCTGCCACAACTGACCAGAGAAATCAAACACCTCACAAGATCCTTCTTTCCTCGTCTGGTGTCTCGCCGCCTCAAATGAGGCTCAACGTGGATCCTTTCATCTCTCTGGCTACACTTGTGTTAACAAAATCTCTTTGAAAATGAAGCGCCGAACACCACTGACATCCAGGCGGAGCTGAACGCGCTTCAACCGTCTATAGATAAGAGTCATCACAGGCTCTTCAAAGAAACATCAACTGCGGGCAAGTTTGCAAGAGAAGACTTATGTAAAGCAACTCTCTGAATTAGGGAGCTTGCAATATTTTTTCAGAGCATCTGTTAAGTTGCTCAGTTAATGCTCATTCCACTTTAAACACACCACACGCACAAGGGGCGGGGGGGGAAGAGAAAAGCTGCTTTTCCAGATTTCATAAGCAACTTGAGCGTGACCACATAATGTAACACCAATACAGACAAGGGCCAGTGCACCTCCAGCAGCTGGAGATGAAGATTTGAAACAAGACCTGAGCATCTCTGTACCACACCGTTATCACTGGATGCTTGGAAACAGACTGCCAGGTGCCATAGCTACTGGTGCAAACTGGGATAGCGCAACTGAAAGCAGAAATAGATGCCCTATGTGTTAAAATGTTTAACCTAGAGCCATGCACTGCCATGGATGCAAGCCCTCGCCCCTGTAATTCTGACACTACCCAGCATGAACACAGTACCCGGCAGGTTCTGCAACACCCATGAAAGACCAGCTTTCCACAAAGGGCATCTCAACTACTCGTGTGATGCAACGAGCCAATACAGCAGTACGTACTAGGCGCGTGGGCTGTGATGTGCCTCTTGCTTGGACACCAATTTTTCCATTGACATCCCAGTGATTTACCTCAGCTTCCAGCGGTGTTGGGTGAATGAATGAGCAAATGAAAGAAAAAAAAAAAACATGTCACACCTACCTATGTGAACGTAAGACAAAGAAGAATCTGCTGGTTATGCTCGTTACTATATACTATTTAGTTGTCTGTTTTTAAAGGTCTAAAAGGATGTCTCACATTTATGCCAGGTTTTCCATACGTTAAGAATACGTCAGCTCTCCCAAGAGGGGGTTAATGCTCTTTGTGCATACAACACTTGGAAAGGGCACAGTGCCGTGCATTTAGATTCAGTCTTGGTAAAATGGTTTTACAAAACTAATTGATATAAACATTTAAAGGGACTCTTAAGGGGAGGGAAAAAAGAAAAGAGTCACGTAGGGCTTTATTTGGCAAACCATCCTATTAACTTCAGACACATTTAGTGCAGAGAGATTAAAGCCAGAAGAAACCATTAGGTAATTTTTAATCTAACCTGGCATTCATCACTGGTACTTGCATCCTACTGATTTAGCCTATGCTTAAATACATAGCTGTACCAAGGAACCAACTGGAAAGAAACTGAAGTCACCCAATTATTTTTGCTATCTAAAGGAAATGAAGGAGAAAAATCCTAACG